CAGTGACCTGTCTTGTTAATGAGTTAATGAAGAATCTGGTCTTTGCATTGACCCTATCCTTAAAAGCTTTCTGTGGAGCTAAAACAACATTCTTCTCATTTATGAGTTAACTCTTTCTTACTTAGCAAATGAGAAACAGAAAGGGAGAAAAGAACCTTCGAGGCAGAGAAACGGAGAGTCTACTGAGGGGCCTTTTTTTTTTTCAGTTTTCTCTCTTTCTTTTTTATTTGAACATTACCTTCACTTTCAGACAGAAATTTCATTCCAAAAAACATTTTCTCTTACTTTAGAACCTGAGTAAAACTGGTCTTGTATTTATGTTGCCTTTTACCCCAAGGCAATGACATTTTATTGAAGGATTTTCCCCACCCATTACTCTGACCAGAAACTACTTTCAATTGAACAACATAAGTATTTGAGTTTTATGTAAATATTTAAATGTAGAGAAAAGAAAATAAATTTTTACTTCTGTAAGTAAATGTTATTAACCTAGCATTTATTAAAGGAGGCAGATTCTCTCTTCAGCTTACTAGAAAAAGAGCAGTCCCCTTTAAATTAGGATATCTTTGAGAACCGGAAATTATTTCTTCTCAAATTATTTTTTCGTTTAGTGATTGATTGCTGGTGATGATCCATGAGTTGAAGGAGGGTTGTTGTACATACCTCTGTTACAGGGTTATTTCTCAGCTTTGCAATTCTAGAAATGCAATTTTTATCAGTCAGTTAGATTCCAGTGAGCTGATTCATGGTAGCCATACTCATAAGGCTGGTATTAACATTTGTTTTCGAAAACCAAAATGCTTATTTATTAACTTACCATTATTTCATTAACCAGAAGAGTATGTTCTATTGAGGCATCCCAAAAGCAATACCTGGAAAATCATAAAAAAGTGACAGAGTCTTTGTTTATTTGGCAAGTAAAGAAAAGAAAATGAATCTATTATGTTAAACATATCTTTTCTGCATGCCATTTGGAGACTTCTAATGAACCTTTATCTTCTGCTCTAAGGCATGTATCTATCTATACAGGTACTTGGTATTAGTGGCTTATATTTAAAACACTGTCTACCTGGTCAGTGCTAAATGTCCACTGCTAAGACGCCTCAAGATGGTAAATCGAACACATGCCGCTACACATGTGCCCCAAATCCCTAAATATATCAGAAATATATATGTATTTAACAATACATGTTAAATACAATATGTATTGTTAAATACACATATATTTCTGGAATAAAGGAGTATACTGGGTAGTCTAGGAATTTGAGGAATTCCTAAAGGAGAAAAGGCAGATAGAATCACATTAAAGGTAGAGATCAGAGTCCAAAAGCCCTACCTACATGTCCCTCCACTCTCCTGTAATTACTAGACATGGCTATGGTGAATAGACGGAGCATTTACACACTGGGGATCTAAAAACTTCACAAGCACATACAACTAAGAGTTGCCAAACATCAGAGGAAAACCAGTGTCATAAAAGAGAGGCTCCGAGCTCAAGAAATTGAAAGCTAACATCGGAGGTTCCAAGTGAATAGGACATAAAGAAGGAGACTTTAAGAGAAGTGTACTTATACCCCGAAAAGATAAAAAAAGAATATTGCATTCATGAAACAAGAACAGACTTATGGGAAAGAATGAATTTTATTTCCTAGATCTTGGAAATGAAACATTATTGTTTGGCTAGAACCTTGTTAAAGGGGCTGCACGGCATAATGAATACAATTAAAGGGAATTAATGAGCAGGAGAAAAAGATGAAAGAATTTTCCAAGAGTATAAAATAATAGAAAGGGTGACAGAAAAGTGAATACAATAAAAGGAATCATTTCAGAAATTCCCAGGTTCATCTTGTATGAGTTCTGGAAGAAGAAAAGAGAGAAAATGGAGGGGGTAACAAATACCCAAAGAAATAAGGGAAGAAAATTTCTTAAACAGAAGAAAAGCAAGAATCCTTAGAGTGAAAGGGCCCACCATGGAGTGCCCACCATGAATTTATCAATTTAAGAAGACTCACGTTTTACACATATAATGAAGTCTCAGAACACTAAGGGGAAGGAAAATTTCTAAAAGCTTCCAGAGAGAGAAATCAGTCCAGCCTATAAAGAAGCAAGAATCATGTTGGCATCAGTGGCAACACCGGGTGCAAGAAAATGAAGGGACATATTTACAGTTCTGAAAGAATGTAGAACCTAAGAGTCTAGGGAAGCTATCCCTCAGGTTGTAAAGGCAAATGAAGACCTTTTTCAGGTCTGCAAGAACTCAGTTTCTCACTCATAATCCCTCTTTTATAAAATTACCAGAGGAATGAGGGATGTTGTTCAGAAAAATATAAAAGGAAACAACTGAAGAATTGAATGGAGTGACATGGACCCAGAAAATGCATTGTCAGTAATGTGGACCTTGAGCAACTGCATGCACCTGACAGCAGTGACATCTGTAGACACAGGCAAAGAGGTCTTCAGTAATGGTGTGATCTGACATCCATCATGGTTGTCACCAAAAGTCCAAGCCTCCAGATTATGCTCATCTTTCAGGTGCTCATCTCACCCTGCTCCTCCCTGTCCTCGTATCTGCATGCGCTTTGGGATCCAGTGATTTCCCTTCAGTTTTGTAGTAGTGAAAAATTTTTTTCTTCCTTGCTAGGTTCTTTGTCTGGTCTAATAATTAAATTCACTCAAGACAGATTAACCAGAGAAAAACAATTTTAATTTCATATGTACAGAAACCTCCTAAAAAATATGAGACTAAAAGAAGTGACCAAAACAAGTAGCTTTTATATGTTTTAGAAAGGCAATAAATTTGTAAAGAGTTGAGAAGACAGGTTTGGGCTTGGTGAAGAAAAAACAGCCTTCTGAGCCCTAATTTTTTAAATCTGTTGGTATAGGGATGCCCTCTACCCTTCTGGTATAGGGAGAATACCTTTCACATGGGAGATTTATCTCTTGTTTTTAGGGGGCAAAGGAGGGTGTGTCCTTGCACTGGCTATTTCTCAAGTACTTTTAATTCAAAATAGTCACTATGCCAAAGTAGCATGTTTTGGGGTGACACATTCTGAACCCCTACAATTTCAGCTTCCTTAATGAACGATTCTTTTGCCTTTCACCTTTACTGAAACTTGGCTCAATGGTCCTCTGGAAGCAGTGTTTCCCCCGAAGCAACCTCAAGCAGAAGCTGTTTTTCCTTTTATATTTGACGTTCTCCAAGACCTAGAGATGAAAAAAATGTCTTCCTTGTGCCCCATCACCATTTTCAAATCCTCTTTCCTCTCCTTCCTGGATTTGCCAGTGAAGTTAGTGGAAGAACTAAAGGATTTGAGCCAGGAAGGGTAAGAGGAAGTGACCAGAGAGTAGAACCTTTGAAATAAAGGCTGTGTTGGTTTTGTCGGATACCAAAAATGCCCATATGAACAGGTGGCCAAGGTGGGCTGAAGAAAAAGTTACTTGAGGAAGTTAAGAAATTGAGAGGCCAAATTCGGATCATTTATGGATATTGACACCTGACAGTGAGGAAGGACAGGAACAAAGTGGACTGAAGTCATCAGTCAGTGACAGAGGCGTGACTTGGAGAAGTTAGAGGTGCTGACAGTAGGGAGGGACAATGGGCAGCAAAGCCTGACGGCCTGTGCTTCGAAGTAGGGCAGTTTGGGGCTAGTAAAAGCAAGTTTAGAAGCAGCGCCCCACCACCCTTTCACACTTACACCTGCGGATCCGGCCTTCGCTCCAGTGCTGGTTCAGGCCCACCAGTGCGCAGCATGCTGCGCCCCGCGGTGACTGCTCCTTCCTGCCCTACACTCCTGCACCGTCATCTTCTCCCTTTCAGCTAACTGGGCATTCCCATCAGCAAACTCTTCTTAGCATCATCCACCTTCGTGGGGAAGTCTCAACTAGGATACAGCATCCTTCGAAGACTGTTGAAAAGAACGTTGATACAGTCATAAAAATAAACTTCTGCATAACAAATCACCATAAACAAAGACAAATAACAAACTAGGAGAAAGCTATTGCAACTCAAATCCAAACAGGTTGCAAATTTCCCTAATAAGAGCCTCTGCAAATCAAGGAACCTATCAAACCCGGCCCAGTTTTTAAAGCTCACCAGAGAGGAAATACAAATGGCTCTTATACATTGGAAGCTGAGTTTTGCTAATACAATGAGAAACAAAAATTTAAATGACAAGGAGATACTGGTTTTCACCAGATTGGCAGAGTCCAAAGTTTGATGACAGTGCTTTGACAATTGTGTATGTCGCTGTGTTTGTAGTGGCAAAAGATTGCCATTAACAGGCCATCAGTAGTGGCTGCCTGATAAATTATGGTTCTTATATGCAATAAAACAACATGCAGCTTGGAAAGAAAGAGGATGTGCTTTATGTAATGATAGGTAATGATCTCTCAAATACATAAGTAATGAAGCAAGGAGCAGAATAGTATAGGGAGTATACAACCATTTACGTTAAATGGGAGAGAATATATACACATATACACTGTTTAGATATGCATGAAATAGCTCTAGCAGGAAGAAACGTTTTAAAAATCTGATTTGCAGTGCTTTATTTCCAGATTCAGATAGAAACTATATGGAGATTTGTCACTGGTGCTCAGGTAGGAAATTAGCTTCTTTCTACCTACAGTGCTAGGAAATTAGCTACTGAAGGGGGCAGTCTGTGAACTGTGAATGACCACATATGCAGAGAACATCTCTGTAGACAAAGAAGGAACTGGTAACAGTGGTTGCCTCAGAGAAGAATAACTGGTGGATGGAGAACTGGTAGGACATTATTTTTAACTGGGCCCATTTTTGATCATTGAATTTTGACCATATGCCTAAACTAAATAAAGGTTTAAACCCCATCTCCTACTTCCCTTTACCACTCAAGAGCAAAGAGTCAGTGGCAAGACTTCTGGCATATTAATACTTCATGTTCTGATAGCTCAACCGTTTAATTGTAAATTAAAGGGATGGGGGCAGGTTACAACACTAATAAGGTGGTGAAGTGAACACACAGTAGATGTTTGGCTCTAGAAGGATCACTGAATTAGTTGAGTTCATGGACTGTATCCACTGGGAGACTAATTTTAGGGGCCCCTGAGCCTTTCTCCAGCCTCCATATCAGTTGACCAGCTGAATAGGCTGTTTCCCTCGCCTCTGGCTTTTCATTTTGGTAGGATTTAGGTTGTCTTGGAGTGTTCCACCTTTGTTTCTTTTTCAGCTTTGTTTTGACAGTTTTTAACATGAATAGTAGAAAGTAGGGCCAGAGACTTCTTGTACCTTACATGACCTTTCTCCCTCCTCCCTCCTTTGTTGTGATGGAGACCCGCTTCTCCGCCCACTGCACCTCTTGCAGCTGATGGCTTCTGCTCTGCAGCACAGGCTAGATCTGCTGGCTGGCAGCCTCTTTCTGCACCTGAATCCAGGGAAGTGCAGATAGTTCTCCAGAGCATTTCAGGCTGGCAGGATTGTCTGGATGGTTGGGATTTCTGCAATAGTTTATTCTTGTTATCTGCTTTCCTGTTCCTTTTCACCTGTTTCTGTTGTTTTAAAGCATTTTTAAATTAATTACAGGAGGGGGGAAAAAAGCAAACCTTTCAATAGCTGTAGTGGGTCAGGTGGCAAGTCGTGGATGGGGGAAGGGGAGTGCAGTGATGGTTGGCCTTTCCTGATGATCATGAGTAGCTAGTATTGCAATACCTCTGCTCCGCAGAGAATCTTGTAGAGCATTAATGATTAATAATGTTCACAGCCTCTCAGTTAAATTGGTCTCTCCGTGTCTCAGTCCCTAAAGTAGAAAATGTAAAGGAGTGATTTATCCAGGGCAGGGGCTGCCCACACAGCAGATGAATTGGGAGTGCAGCCCAGAAGTTGTACCATCTTAGCGCCTCGCGCTGACCACCATAACTTCCTTCCTTATTTTTTAATCAGCTTGTGGGGAGAGCGAAAGAAGGAAAAGGCTGTTTTAATAACCAGAATGTGGTATGGAAACTTTAAAGACTTCCTTTTATTGCCTTTTTTACTTCCCTTCCCTTATTTAAAACAAAAACAAAAACTTTCTGGTTCGATGTCAATCTCGGTCCATTTCAGGACTTCTCTCCCTATTTCAGGACTTCTCTCCAAATTCTCATTTGACAGAGGCATGTCACTTAGCCATTTCTGTTATTTGCTTTGGCTCTGCAGCACCCCATATATCTGAAAGGGCAGCCATCGAAGATTTTTGTCTTTCTAAAATTTAGCTTGCTCTTAGATAATGAAATGACTGTGGTGGCCCTGCATTCACTAAAATATACAATTGGCTTCTTAAAAGCAAATCGTTTTTTTAAAAAAATACTGATTGACTCGTTTCTTTAAGTCTGTAACATTACTACTTTTGTCCCTTTTACATGAAACCAATAGCCATGCAGATTCCCCTCCTTCTGCGCATGAAAAGATAACATTAAGTGAATAGGCAAGCCACAGAATGAAAGAAAAGATTTGTAAACTATAACACACACACACACACACACACAGAGAACTGATAATGATAAGACAAATCACAGACTGCATTTGGCCACCACTAGAAGGCCACAAGTTGGAGGCATGACCATCAGTGCTTGGTGCCCCTACACGGTAGGTAGAGCAGTACCTGAAGGAAGAAGCAGCCCATCCTGAATAGCCATGGAGTAAGTCCCATGGCCCCTTGAAGTAGCCCTGGTGAATAAGGCCCACTGTGTTTTGTTTCTAACTTTTAATAATTGGAATTTGCTTCATTTTGTCTTCACAAGGGCCAGCTTGTCTGCCTGAGACAGCCTTCAGAATAATAACAAAATTGTGCTGCTTGGACTCAGTGTACTTGGAGATGGACAGTGGTGCTTAATGGTTAAATGAAGGGTATTCTCATCTTGTGAGTGTTATGAACAGTTCTGTGTTCTTCATATTCTAGTTAACAGCATTCAAAACCAACTGAGAAATAAATATAATTCTAAAAAACCTTTTATATTAAGTGCTGGAAGAATGTTCTAGCTTTCATCATTTCAGCAATGCATTCACTGGGGAACAGATCATTTCCCAGCTTTTCCAGTGAATAGATAGCAATAAGCTGAGTGATTTTGCTTAATGAGGAATTCAGAACCAAGTAGAAGGCAAAATCACCCCCATCCTGGCCTCACCTCTATCCTAAATCTATATGTCCGTCATCATTTTTGAAAACTAGCCTCATGACTCTTCGGGAACTTGACCAGCTGCCCAAACTGCGTTCACAGCCTTGCCCAAATGTTTGGACAGCCCATTCGGTTTCTCTTTAAACCATAAGGTTTGGATAATTATTTACGTGGTAATGTGCTTCAATAAAAAACATCAGGAATTTTATCTAAAACTGGCCCTCGAATCATAGTGTACCCGCTAAGTGCAGATCGCGGGGCCCTGCTCTCAGCACTTCTGATTCAGGAGGTCAGGGGTGGGAGTTTGCGTTTGTAAAAAGCACAGGGGACTCTTGGACAACACTGAGAAACACTCAAAAATGTAACAGGAGTTTGAGGAAGAAGCGGAAAGAGGACTTTGCTCTGGTTGTTTGTCAGGCACGGTTGGGGGCTGTCGCTTCCTAAGAACAGTGATGCTTGCTTCTTCTTTGTACACCTGGTGTCAGCTTGGTTGCTAGGACGTAGTAGGACTGTAAGACATTTTGAATAAGTAAATATATTAAAACAAATGAACACACAGAACACTATCAACTATAAGTTAGTTCAGGTACTTTCGTGTTATGGGAAGGATTGTACATGTAGAAAATCTTTATTAGGAGTAAACAGTAAGAAAACTGTTAAGTGACAACAGCAGCAGAGGTCAAAGGGGACACATTTCAAAATTAAGAAGCCCAAGAGCCTAATAGGATGGCTCCTCAGAAAAATCCCTTTCTCTTCTTTGTCTTCTGGAAGGAACGTTCAGATTTATTAACCAGATTGATTATCAAGTGGAAGTCATACACTGCTTGGATGGTCAGAATGCCCTAGGCAGTCTCCAGTCCCGGGTCCCGCTTTCCAGAGCTGACCACATTCAACTCTTAATTCTGGTACTTTTTTGTCCATATTTTAAATTGATGCCTTTAGTTTTAAAATGATTCTCAGTTTATCAATTTTAGACATTAACTTTTTGTTAATTCTGGTAGTTAAGAAGGAGCAGTTCCTGTTTCGGAAGAGGAGGAATTAGCATCTCGAACTTCCCCTGCCCCTCAGCGTCGCCGCTCTCCTGCGTCCTCCTGATTTAACGGCATCATCATCGCTGTCAGCGTTTTTCACTGCTGAGCCAGGGTGTAGACTAGCCTTGTATTTCCTTTCACATGTACCTGTGTGTATTTCCTTGCTTGGTTTTCTATGTCCCGATCACAGTTTTTTTTAACAAACTCTCCAACATGGCTGTAAAATCCCTCTCAATACTGTTCTTGACTATGTCACATAATCTGTCATTTCCATCCCCACCTTATCCTTTCGGAGCCCTTCATCCTCCCGCTCACATCAGGGCTCTCAGTTATCTTGGCTTTCTGCGCAGCCATTGCTCTGGGCCTGCCTTTTATCCCTCTTCGTGTAGCTCCCCAATTTCTTGGATCCCTCTTCTTTCTCTTTCTAGATGTAGTCCCTCATTTTGATGTAACTCATCCTCCAGTAACATCCTGAGGAAACAGTTTATGGGAGATAAGTTTTTTGAAACTTTGCATGTCTGAAATTAACTATGTTCTACCTTCACATTTTATTAATGGTTTTGTTGGATATAACATTATAGGTGGACAATAATTTTCCTTCAGAATTGTGAGGACATTGCTCCTCGGTAGGGCATCTACAAAGCTGAACCATCTGGAAGTCTTGAATCCTTGTATGTGACTTTATCCCCGTTCCCTCTGGGAAGGTTTTGGGATCTTCTTTTACCCCTGAGATCCTCACCAGGCAT